CAGGAGGCTGGATTTTGGTGTTGACCTTGACACCTCCTGGTATCGGGACCAGGGTGTCCATCACAGAGAGCGGTTCTTGTGGTGCTCCTCCCAAACAGGACGCTGGGTCCGTGGTTTGTCCTCCGACTTCGTGGCTGAGCGTGCCATCAGTGGGAATGGTTCTTGTTGTGCTCCTCCCTCCTCGGCGTGGCAGCTGGGCTCATCCTCCCAAACAGGATGCTGGGTCCGTGGTTTGTCCTCCGACTTCGTGGCTGAGCATGCCATCAGTGGGAATGGTTCTTGTTGTGCTCCTCCCTCCTCGGTATGGTTTGTGATTGCGCCCATCTGGGCTGTTGCGGTCAGAGTGTTGGCCAAAGACAGAGGCTCTTGGGGGTCCTCTGCCTCAACTGTATGGTGTTCATCTCTCACAGAGATGGGGCTGGGATGTGGAGGTCTCTGGCTGGGATTCCTGTCCAGATGACTTCGCCAGGACAGCTCCTATCCTGTGTAGCTCATCCGGCACGTCGGGCTGACATCCTCTGAATGTAGGTATTAGTTGTTGAGGGTAGTGTCCGTATAGGGGTGCCTCCTCGATACGCTGGTGGTGTGATGACTCTGGAGAGCAGGGGTTGGTAGTTTCACCTTCCGGTATCCCGCTGAAGTTTGGTCTCCCTTGGCACGAGGGGCTCGACCCCAGGTGGTATTCAGAGGAGGGTCATCCTCCCTATCTTCCTCTTCTTCTGAGTAGGGGATTTCAGTTATGTGGTCCTGGGTTCCGCCGGGACACCAGACTCATCTGCCCTCTGGTCACCTTTCTGATGCGCCCTCGGACATCCTCTGCCCAGTACACATTATCTTGCTTCCTCTTGACGAGGTATGGGCCTTCCCGTTTTTCAGCTAAACTGACCTTTTGCTTTATTAAGCGGGTAATTGTGGAGAAGCGCACACCTGTTCGGGGTTGTGTATACTAGCAAGCGATGTACTGTACCTGCACAGTGCGTGCTTTTGTGGTCCTGGCTAAGGCAACCAGGCAGACATCTTTGGGTGTCAACATCTCGGTTGGTGTTTTCTCCCATTGCCAGTCCCCGGGTCGACGGAAGGTTCACCTGAGGATGAGCTGGCTAGGGCTGGTGTTGACTGCCTAGTTTGCTCTTTCAGGGCAAAAAGATTTGAGGGGATGTGCTTATCCCAATGCCGGTGGTCATTCCACACTCTTAGACGGAGGCCCTTCTTCAACTCCTGGTTCCTCCGCTCAGTGGGATTTGCATTAGGATGGTAAGAGGAGTTTTCCAGGTCTTCACTCCCCAGTTCTGGCAAGCCTTCCTCCATTGCTGGCTTGTAAATAGGGTGCCATTATCTGTGAGAATAACTTGTGGGTACCTCCAGTGTGGGAATATCTGCATTTCAAATTTTTTGAGGATATTCTGTTTCCTGGCTGGGTAGAGAAATTTATTCTACCCAGCAAGAACACTGGTCTGTGACCAACAAATATGGGTTCCCCTGAATGTTTTGAGGGTAAGTTCCCATTACGTCAGCTGCCAGATGCATCCATTCTGTGGTTGGGCGCCTTGGCTTTGCCATGCCTTTCCATGGCAGCAGAGATCTCACAATTGAAGACGTACTGGCGAATGTCGCGGCTCATCCCGTCCCAGATGTATCTTTCCCAGAATTCTCATAGTGTTTCCCAGGTTCCAGGGTGGCCAGCATGTGGGTGGTGGTGGTGGCAGCAGCATCAGAGATCTGCCCTCAGATTTGTTGGTATACAGATCTTCCAAGCGGCTCATGGTTGGCTACTGCAGGACCAGATGATGATGTCCCTGAGTTCGTATTATTGGGGTCGTTCCTGTAGGAGGTGCTGGATATCCGTGTCCTGTTGTTGGTGGACCGTGATTTGTTCTGTACCGAGCTGCAGCTGTAACAGTTGGGTATGGGTTTCGGGCAGGAGCTGGGGGAGGTTCTTCTTCTACTTTTGGTTCCAATTTGAGATCCGGTTAGCATGACGTTGTGTCTGGTAAATATTGCTTTTGTCCAGGCAGTGTCTTAACCTCGAAATCAAATTCCATGAGGAACATTTTACACTGCCCGAGCTTAGCCTTGGTGTTATGGAATTCGAGCAGCAATTGGAGGGCTTTGCTATCCATGCAGAGTATGAAGTGCTTGCCATCCAGGTAATGGCGGTACTTGCATGCTGCCCAAATCACGGCAAGCCACTCAAGTTCATTGATGTAATATCTGCGATCAGTTATGTTAAGCCGTGTACTGGCGTATGCTATTACCTGCGGCATACCAGAGGCGTCTTCTTGATATAGTACGGCAACCATTCTGTCCTGACATGTGTCCATCTGTAAAATGAGAGGGTTCTCCCCCTGTGGTCAGTGGAGTTGTGATATGCTATTGAAACCTGTTTTGAGCGCTAGGTAGGCGTAGTGATGTTCGTCCATCCATAGACAGAGGAAGCGATGCACATGCTTCTTATTGGTTGGTTCCTCTGCCTCTTGGATGGCCCTTATCGATTTGGTTTGTGAATAATTACCCTCGGGTGTAACAACGGGGCCAAGGTAATTTATTGACATCTTGCCAAAGTGACCTTGGACAATTTGCAGGTAAGGCCGTGTAGCTTGAGCCTCTCCAAGACTCACTGGAGGTGGCCGCAGTGTTGCTCTCACATTTTGGAGTATATGATGATATCATCCAAATATGCTAAACAAACTGACCTACAAATCCCGTCAACACCTCGGCTGACATGCTATTGGATGGTGGCTGGTGCGTTCTTCAGCCTGCATGGCATCACGCTGATCCTGAAGTGTTTCTCGTTCTGGAGTGGTGAAAGCTGTATATTTCCGGCTGTCTGGGTGAACTACGATCTGCCAGTATCCTGACTGCATATCGCAGCTCCCCCTAGGTCACGGAGAGTATTGTTTATGTTCATTGTAGGAGAAGCGATTGGGTGTGTTGAGATCGTTAAGGTCCTTGTAGTTGATACATAACCGTAACTGTCCATCCTTCAACGGAACGAGCATGACTCTTGAGTTGGACAACTCCATGATCTCCTGTTTCTTCATCTCCTGCACATGTGACATGGTTGTCACCTCCGGGCGGACACTCTATAGGGTCTATTATAAACAGGAAATTCTTGTTGTTGGCCAAATTTCATGCTTGATGCTACATGTCTGGTGTAGAGATCTTGCTTGGCTAAAGATGCCTGCATGGTTGCTGAGTATTTGCCTGAGCTCGGCAAATTTATGTAGGTCTATGCAGTGATGTACATCGTAGGGAATTATTGGAGCTGGAATAACCGCTTCGGTGCTATGTTCCGAGTTGATTGAGATTCTATTCTTATTCCCGATATACACGTGCCGATTTCCATGGTCCATCACACATTGTTGTTGGCTTAACCAGGTCTGTCCTAGAATCACTGCTGTGATATCTGGGGTAACTATGAATTTAGCCAGGTGTGTGTGATGGTAGATACCAACTGTTAAAGTTGTTCGACCATCGACCTTCAGGGTCTGGTCATGTTGTGCTATCATAATGCTGTGAGTTTGTGGGCGAGAGTGATGCACTATGTTCCGAGTTTATCACATCACTTCAGACTAAATTGTCTGTGGCTGCGGAACCAAGAAGGGCAAGATGTTTATTTCTGTTGATTTCCACTTCAATGTGTGGAGCCTCCTGTGGTTCACTCTCCTCGTTGGATTCATTTAGTCTGCAGGTGAATAGGCCCTTTGTCTCTGGGGGTGGATGCCCGGCTCGCACCCCGGCCGTGGCATTTCCCGCCTGGTTGGGTCCCTTAAACTCTGTCGTGCGCAGCAGCATGTCTGGCTCCTGCATGTTTCTCCTTTCCTCCACGCGCCCCTGACCTGTCTGCTGATGGGGCAGTCCTTGTGAAAGTGCTGACCTGGGCAAAATACACTTGACGGAGCATGGTGGTGCGGGGAGGGTGTGCGTAGGTACTGACGTTGCACTCGGGTGGCTTATCGTTCTCGACTGTCTTACCAGGTCGCTGCTTGTCTAGCAATACTTGCGCCTTATAATTCCACTCCATTTTTTTCACCCTGTCCATGAGATTGTCAATTGTTTGCAGTTTCAGAAACTGTAATAATTTTCTGAGTTTAGGTAGAAGCATGTGTGTCAAGTTGCGCACACAGTTCTCATTTTCGTTTGGAAAAATTTGTTTATACATCTGCACTTTGTGACGTTTAAAGATTTCTGCCTCTTAGCTGGCTTGGGTTCGGCTGTGAAATTCGGTGGTTAGGTGAGCTATGACTTCCTCGCTAGTGAACTACGAGGCAAGGTGAGTACACAGCTGCCCCAACTCTGTGACAAATTCCCCATACCTAGCCCACCATTTGAGCACTTTCCTCTTGTGTTGTCGATGGGCTTTATTGACCCATTGTTTGAGTAGTATGTCTGGTCTCTAAATTTCTGTCCACATTCTTTTGTGAACGCTGTTGGGCCTTCATGATGTCTTCTTCCAAATTCTGACAGTTGGAGTTCAGTGCTGCTCCGGGTTGTGACAGGGCTCTGGCGATGGCCAGAATTCTGTTGTCCTTAATCTTTGGCACATCTATAAGCCTAACAATGATACAACAGGCCTGGCCTTGTGATGCATTCATCGGGCCATCTAATGCATACATAATGGAAGTTTTGGGTGCAGAATATACACAGTACCGTGTGAGTCCCTTGCCCGTTGCATGTTACCCAGCTGCAGTAGGCAGTCTGGCGAGTTCGGCACTCGTTAATCAGTATTCCAACCTGTTGGTGTAACAAGGCTTATCCGCCCACCCCAAGCATGGGTAGTGAAAGCGGTTGTGGCAGTGTGCACATATAATCGCATGGACCCCCGTGCCTGGGCATGTGACTACATTGCATCTGTCGAGAGTTGCATCAGTCATGTTGGTTTCTTGATTGTCTGCGAGAGACTGTTCTGAGCCCAACATTGCAGCTATAGTTGGTTGCGCTTGAGCACCATGGGGTGTTTTAAGACTCCCCAAAGTCCGTTTGAGTTGAGATTTTAAGATGCCTAGTTACCTCAGTCGTAGAGCACGAGACTCTTAATCTTGGGGTTATGGGTTCAAGCCCCACGTTGGGCGCCACTTAAACACTTGATGCACGATGGCCTTTGGCTGTGAGGTGGTCACCAGTGTCAATTACAGTTTTATTTGTGTCGCCAGTGACACTAAAACCAATTATGTTAGTTATTAGTGATGATGTACTGGAGCACGGCCTGTGTAGAGGGTAGGGCGGGCGTGTGGCCTGCCTGCTCAGTACAAAGTCGGGTGCTACTGTCACAGCACGGCGGGTGGGTTGGCACACTGCCACGGGTTCACCTTGTCGGATGGTGGTCCTGGGTGGCTGCTGACCCAGCTGCGGTGGTTGTATACTGCGGCTGTTGGTTTCACCGAGACCTGGTGCGCTGGTAGTTCTGTTGGTGCTGGAACTGCTCAAAGTCTATGCTGGGTGGGTGGCCTGGTATCCCCCAAACCAGAGATTGGCGATGCAGAAAGGGATATCCTTACCCCTGCGGATAGCGACTACTATCGGGTGAGGAGGTCCGGCGATGTTGATGAGTACTGTAAATGAGTTTTGGGAGAGTGCTGGGAGGTGAGGCCTGCAGGGATATGCTGCAAAGTGCAGGTGGAGCTGGATTACAACTCAGGTTATTTTTAGAGGCATTAATTGCCCTTCTTATTTTCCACTGGACACCTCTCTTCCGAGTGTATGCCATAAGGAAGGTTAAACTACCAGCCCTGCAAGAGTAAAGCAGGAGACGATGGTACCTAGCTTTGTGTAATTCCAAACACTGCCGCTGTACAAGCAGTAGTCATACCTGCTGCTCCTTCATCCATCCCTGTTTAGGGTAGTTGATACAGAGCGTTAGGTTTCCTCAAGCTGCATGTCAGCAATGCTTGGGTGTGTGTGGTATCCAAGGGGGTCAGTCCTACAGTACCAACTCTTACTCCCTCCGGCCCAGTTCAGAGCGGTGGACGGAGTATAGGTTGGCGTGGCTGACTAGCCACCTTGTGGAGGTCTTTCGAGTAGTGGTGGCTTCATCATACTGTACACGTGGTGTACAGTACAGGTGGCCTTCTGATAGGTGTGTGACTGACATACGTGCTTCTCAGTGAAAGGAGTCCGTAGTCCTACCCTATAGTTCGTACTTTGTTGGGTGCGGTCCCTGGTTTCTCTCTGGTAGGCTTGGCATCTACGTAGGTACAACACAGTACACTAGGAAATGAGAACTCAGAAGTCAATGCAATTACGTATATATTCCCAAGAGAGTACATATACGCGGTGGCCCGTACTACCTCCTAAATTATCCCAGAGTTGAACAACTGAAGTTATCCTACATAAATCCAGGTGAAGGAGACCTGGTCCTATCTGAACAAGACTATCCGGCTATGCAAATAACTGACTCTAACTAACTCTAACCGTTGTCCAGAAGGGACTATGAGGACCACTACCAGAAGGATAATGGTGTTGAGATTGTAATTATCAGCAGGTAAGGCAAGTGAGAGTTGTCCAGAAGGGACCGTAGAACCACCACCAGAAGTGATAATGTTGGCACAATTGCCGTTACCAGCAGGTGAGGCAAGAGAGTTGAAGTCATCTTCGGGAGCTGGTGGTGAAGACCTTCTTGAAGGTCTTGAAGGCGTTGCTGAAGGGCTTCTGGTAGATTGTGAGGACCTGGTAACCAGAAGAGAGCTCTAGCACTGGGTGTGGTAGAGCATGCTGCTAGAGTTGGCTTTCTCCAGCCCAGTCCAGAGCGGTGGAAAAAACATAGACTTGCGTTATTGGGTACTGCATGGACTTGCATACTCCTTGTCCACGGGCCGTTTTTGAAAAGGGGTGCGGGAGGTGGCCAGCACCGCCCTTCAATCTGTCTGCTGGTGCTGCATGCCTCAATCCATGATACTTGTGGTGCCATGCCTTGGCAAGCCGGAGAACTACGTGACTTTAGGCTGCGGCCTCGGCCGATAGTACAATCTCACCTCAGGGAGGTTGGCATGATGTCTGATTTAGTGTGTAGTGAACAGTAATAGTTGGACGGATGTGTGTAATAATGCTCCTTATTGCAAGGGCACTTATTGCAAGGGTCTTGTAGGCACATGACCAACCTCTATTATTATTGTTCTAAAACCACCTTATTGAAGTGAAAGCATGTTCAGATGAAGCGAAGTCAGAAGAATCGGACAAAGCATCATGCATCGGATCTATTTGGAAGACATTGCAAATTCACTTGTGAAAATTTGTACAATTTTTGTTGGACCACAAACTGCACCTATATCACCATTTATTTTTGTCCCGACCTGTACATACCTTTCACGATAGTATTTTTTTACAGTGCCAATATCGCTATAATTTACCAATCCATTTTTAACTTTCCTGCTAAAGTTGCTGCTTACGAGGCAGCTAATACTATGTTGAGTTTGAAGTGAAATTAATTGTATTTTTAAAAAGTGCGTTATTTATTCTTTGGTGCCTACTTAGGAATGATGTTTGGGAAATTTTCACTTCAGGAGACTAGTTTCTTCTATCATGAATTTCTTCAAACTGGAAGTGGTGAAAACAGGTGTTCTTAAAGTCTTACTGGACTGCGCAGTACACAGTTATTACATCATAAAATCAGATTCGCTGCTGAAAGTGTTACTCAGGCAAGTTGCTGATGGAAATACTGTGCATGAGTTATTGGCTTGTGCTTAGAGGTGGCATGGTGGGTTATTCATACTGTCCTTATCGCTGCTGCGCATCTTGTCCTCACAAACACAAAATACATCTCTGTATGAAACACCCTTACCACAAATGTACTAGCTGTTTTTTGTGTGCTTCATTCTTTGCAAAGTTTTTTTACATTCCATAAAAAGGTATTAAGCATGTGCACCAATGTTTACCTTGGTTGGCAAATACACCAATACATCAGCATGCCTTGACATGTGATGGGGGAAGAGAGTGCCAGAATACTTACCAGTGTCAAGTTAGTGGCACTGCCTGTCCTCCGGTTTTTAGCCATGAGCTGTCCAGATGCTCCTGTGGATGAGGTGTGGGATTTTAGTTGGGCTGGCTAGTCGAGAGCTTCCTGTTGTAAAATACTGGTCTCATGGATTGCTGACAGGGCACAAAATCAGCTGTTTTGAGTACAATTGGACATTTAGTAGGTACGAGTTTGGAGACACCTTGGCGCCAGACTGGGCAAAGTGCTGGTTGGCCAGACGGTGTTTGGTTCGTGGGTGGAGGTACTATTTGTGTTGGTCTTGAGGGACGGAGCACTTCGGGTGTATGCCTCTTGTGGTGATTGGTATGCCGGGGAAGCTGGTAGTCCCATAATGAACCAGGCAGATGGTTGAGTAGATCCGGTGCACACAGGAGCACAGAAGAGGTGCGAAGGCACTGGTAGCATCACTGGAACTTGCAACCTGCGGATACCCTGGGTCTGCTCACGTGGGCTGAGCTTGGCGATTCATACAACCAAGGTTGAACAAAACTCACATAATCTCCCAGAAGCAAGTAATGTCCTTCTGATGCTTTCCTTAAGGCCCCTCCACTTGAAGTGGGTCATATGGAATAGCACACACCTTCCCCGTAAAAGAGCGGTACACAGGTCCTTTGTGTGCCCGGTTATGTGTCGAGCCACCGAACGAAATGGTCACCCAATTCCAACACCTGGCGGCCACTTCCGCAGTGTGCGCTGCAATTCGGGCCTCACACGTCCGTTGCCAATCACATTGGTGTCAACGTGTACCTGTGTACTCCCCATTCTTACCACTAGGTACCAAGGAAAGGTGAGTTTGAGTTAGTGTGTGTGTGGGTGAAAAGTTGGTGTAATCGCTTGAGAAACTTCCCAGGGTATCCTGCATTCCCTTCTCCTCGGGCCGTCAACTAGGATCTAGAAACTAAGCTACAGGAATGGAAAGTCCCAAGGATTAAATCAAGTTTGTGTTTATTTCCTTAAGAGGACTGTGTAGCTGTACATCCAAGGTCAAGAAGCGAGGTAGCGATACAGACGATACTAACACGCACACCTAGTGCCTCATCACTTACGCACAAGGCGTGCAGTGTTTCCGTCCTAACACTTTACTGTGTAAACTAGATATGTAACAGTGGGGTTTTATTACACGTGCTGGGAGTACACAGATCAAACTACTTGCGTATAATTGTACTTTTCTCTTACCACTTAAAGAAACTTCTTAGGTAAGCTTTAAAAATGTGATATTTGACCACTTTCACGATTTTTTTCTCCATTAATACACTTAATATGACAAAAGTAAAAAGATAGCAACATAGATAATAGTTTTTTTATCCTTTCTGGCAAAACTTAGTATTTCCAAAACATTTATTTACCGAGAGAGGCATTTAGGTGTGAACGATTTCACAGAAAACGTTTCAGTACATAGGACCCTTAAGAGGAAGATAAACGTGATGACGTACTCCTTTGGGGATTACCATATTTGGGGCGGCCTAGAAGCTGTGTTACATCAATTAAGCCGATAGAGGCGACCGGTGTAGTAGGGGCATTGTTGAGGTTTGCTGCGTTGCTGGCGAGAGTGTTCCTGATGTTGTTGAGCCATAGTTCCCTAACGTGGTGGTGCATTGCGCTGGATACCGACGCTGGGAGACTAAGCAGGGCAGACAGGATTTAGTCCTAAGAATGACTGCGGATTGGATTCCTTACTGCAATACTTCTGTATTGAGCAGGAGGTAGGTGTAGCAGGGATCTTTGTAGAATAGAGTGCCTGTCTAACATGTTGCCAAGTGGTCAGAACCACTATCCTACAAGAGCCTAACTGTTCCTGAGCAGAGAAAGATAGGCTTCGGAGTAATGTACAACTGTTCCGAGCAGAGGCTGCTGGAAAACTGATAAGAAAAACTCTGAGGTGTGAAGGACCATTCCTCCTCATATACTCCTCACAGGGGGTGGCCCGCCACTGATTTGCCGTGTCATGAGGGCGAGAATAGTCGAGCAGCGAGGGGTAGCAAAAGCATGATTTGCCTATCTGACGTCACCGGCTAGCTGGAGGATGGGAAACAAGAGACAGACAATTATACTACTAATGCTATCTAGTGGTGCAAAATAAACTCCTACCACAGCTACGGT